ACATAACCCCAAACAAAACAACTTTAAAAATATTGGACCAAAACCCCCAAAATTCCCCCACCCGCCATGGTGGGCGGGGGAATTCTGGGAGTTGTAGTCCACATATCTTAAAGTTGCTATGGTTGAGCTTACTGCTCTAAGCTAACTCTCCACTCTGCTATTATACAGTTGAACCTTAAACTGCAGCTTCACCGAGGAAACAAAATCCCCTTTTTTGATGTTAATTTGCAACACAGGATGTCTAGATTGAAGCTGCAACAAAAAAATACCGCATCATTTGTGTAAACTCAGCAGTTTACCTGTACTTCTGCAAGATCACGTCTTTCCAGAAGCTTGTACGGGCACACGCGGGTACGTATCCGTAGCTTGGGAGCTTGCTTGCCTCAGCGGCTGAGCTTTGCACGCCATTAAACCCTTGTCGGATTTTGTGATGAGTGGTTTGTCCAGGATGTTTTCCTTAATGAGCAAACAGCTGTTCCAGGAGATCTGCCTTTCTACCTTTCTCACCACCTGCTGAGTTGCCGTTAGACATTTGTCCCCGGTCTCCTTTCCGGACTCCAAGGCAGCCAGTGGAACACTTCTTATTACAGAGGACAACGCGAGTTCTGCAGAAGGACATAATCTAGGCAGCAGTTGGCCTGCCCAGAATGCTGTCTAAGCCCAGATGCTTCTTTAGATCATTGAGAATTTATTTCATTTCTCTCTTTTACTTCTTCATTTAACAGGATATACCACCGGCGATGGAAACGTCTTACAATAAAAGCCATGTTACAACTGAGACGTTAAGAGCATTTAAAATAGCAATTAAAATAAACAAGGAGTACAAACCGGATTAATAATTAAAATTTAAAATCAGCCGTTAAATGCCTGTACAAAAAGATGTGCTTTTGTGGCCTCACAAAATTTAAAAAAGAGGCAACTCTGTGGGGAGTATGTTCCAAAGAGCTGGATTGAGACAGGGAAGGCTTGATCTGGGGTTGGCACCAGGCGAGCTCGCAGCAACTATGGGCACATCTTCTCTAATAGAGGCATCCACAGTGGTGGTGGTGGTGGTGGAGTGATTGATGAAACAGCACCACACTGTGGTGATACAAGCTTCACCCTTTTGTACTCATGTTATGCTGGGCCTTATTTGCCATGTTGCACAGACATATTGGAATATTATGGAAAACACCAAAGAGATTTTAAGCAAAGGCTTGCACGCTTTGCATTTTCTCCACTTCCAGGTGGCTCTGCCAAGTCATTTCTGGTTTGACTAATATGGTGCCACAAAATCAAGACGTGGCACTTGTTTGACTGCGGAGGCCCTGGAGGGCAGCCTCAGCTTGGCCTCCACATGGCCATAGGATGACTTTTGTGACTTCCTTTGGAGAAATGTGC